GTTGGTGGTCGGTACCATGGTGGGAAGGCGGCGTTGAGGATGTGTCGGTCGAAGGCCTGAGGTCCCGGTAGGCCGGGGCTCGGGCTTTGGTCCTCGCCACTATCGTAGCGTCCACCACGACGAGGGTGGAAGCCACGGCTAGCTCCCTCCCTGAGTATGCCTGCGGGTGTTGAGGGTGTCGCACGCATCACGGTTGTGGCCGAGACACTCATGCACTGGGACCACGGTGCGTAGCCTACCGCCTTGTGGTGCCTGGTGGACTGATGCATCCTTGTCGGGTTGCTCCGAGGGCATGCGCTGGTTGGCGCCGAGCTCGCATCGTCAAGACAATGAGCTTTTGGCTTGTTGTGCTGCCGCACGCTCGAGTAGTGTGTGAATCTCACGATGGGCCCGACGATCCTCTGGCGTCGCGGGCCCTAGAAGCCCCTGGAGCAAGGCCGTCGCAGCGGCGATGTTCTGGCTCACCCGGGCGAAGTGCGGGAGTGCTTCATCGTCATCGATGATCCTCTGGCTCACATCGCGGGCCATGGCACGTACACGCCCACCGTCTTCGTGGCGCTCAATCGAGCTCCACGCGTTCTAGCTTGAGCTAGAGTCACGCTTTCTCGAGCTCTTGGTGTCAGGCCTTCAGTTGCTCCACCTGTAGGCGAGGCGGGGCCCCTGCATCCCCTCCCCTCTGACCTTGTCGTCGAGGTCATTCATTGGGGTAGCTTCTTCCTCGTGGATGCTTTTGATGTGTCCCTCGAGGGTACCCGCCATGAAGCACTCACGAGAGGGGTGATGGCTCCCCGTGCTGGAGTTAGAGCTGGAGGGCAACTCTGATTCTTCTGCGAGGAGGTCATGGAAAGACTCCGTGACATATTCGGTCATCCCCACGAACCCATCATTCGCGGAGGGCGGAGGCGTGCATTGTGCCACAAGGTGGCATTGGTCTCTGCGGCGTTCCGGAGATCGAACGGGAGCACTATCGGGGTGCTCCAGATGAGGTATTCTAGAAAGAGCGACTCCCCTCCGGTAACTTATGCCATGACATTGGTGAACAAGAAGGTGAGGTGGCACAGGTCCTCCCGGACGGTCGGGGTCCCAGGAAGGCATCGAGCTGGCGCTATAACCTCCGTAGTCGAAGTCAAGGAGTTGGTCGCTTTCAGGGGCGCGGGCCTTCGATGTGTGCAACTACAGCTCCTCAAGCGCCTCGGCGATCGCGTTGAGGCCAGTGGAGTGGAGAGGTCGGACGGCGGCAAGAGCCGTTGCCAACTCTCCCTCCGTCGTGATGATGAAGTCTAGGTCCCCGATGCGCACGTGCGCGCCCGGGACCCAGCTGAGGTTGTGACTAGCCATCCGAGGCCCGGGACCCAGAGCGCGCCAACTATCGGTGTTTTGAGTTGCCACCGACTAGTAAATTTCTAATATTGCGCATCTAGCTCGGATGGTGTGCTAAGAGGACACAAGGTTTATATTAGTTCGGGCAGAATGTCCCGACGTCCAGTTCGTTGCTGTTACTCGTGTTACTAGCACTGAAAGTTTGTAGTAGGGGTTACAAGCGGTCGAGAGAGGGACAGTTCCCAAGTCTCTGGTGAGAGGAGCGAACGGGTGTTGAGAGCTCGGCTATATGCTTATGTGTTCTGATCGGTTCAGGATTCAATGGGTTCTAGTCTAAATCGATGCGATGTGTTGCGATGCCCCTTATGAGACGCCCTGCTTTCCCTTTTATAGGCCAAGGGAAAACACGGGTTATAGTGGGGGGAAAAGAGGAGAATGAGAATGAGAATAAGTCCAACAGGATCGTTGGGTCCTTCTTTTCCTTCAAGCGGGTCCCGTCAACCTTGTAGATGTCAATAGGGACAGCTCCACGTCATGGCCCTATCTGTCAATAGTGCCATGCGCAGGCGTCGTCTCCCGGTCATGGCACTCCACTCCATCCTGGCAGACATCCAGCCTGTTTGCTTGTTGGTTTCAGCTAGGGCTTATCAGCCAGCCAACAGTATTTTCCTCTCACAACAAACCAGCACTAGCCGGGCTTATCAGCCTAGAAACTAACCAGCGAACAGGCTCATCATGGTAAATTGACGCGCCTGTCAGTCCTCGTACGAGGGTTAGGCAGAACAGCACCGGTACGCCCGACGTTGTTCCTGATATGAATCCCCAGGTATGGCCCGTCACGGCCACAGGTTATATTAGGGCATACCGGTAACCTCCCTGGTGTCAGAGCTTTGATCTAGGGCCATTCGCTTGGACCTGGAGTGGTTGGCGGCGGTATGAGTCTCCGTTGGGCGAGATGGATCCCTCGACCTTAGGGTCGGTCGAGGCGGAGTCTCTCCTAGAGGCCAGGCGAAGCGGAGCCCATCCCCAGAGGCTGGGCGAGGCGGAGCCAACCCTCAGAGGTCGAGCGAGGAGGAGCCCACGGCCTCGGTGTCGGACGAGGCGGAGCCCGTCCTCATAGGTCGGGCGAGGCGAAGCCAGCCCTTAGAGATCGAGCGAGACGGAGCCCATGGCCTCAGTGTCGGGCGAGGCGGAGCCCGCCCTCAGAGGTCGAGCTGTTTACGCCAAAATTTGGGAGAAGAACGTGGGAACTCAAAGGCTTCCAAGATTGTGTCAATCAAGGAATCGATTGCATAAGGATCGATATCAACTAATTCATACGCAATACTAGAATCGACACTCTTTGAATGACGTCGGCAAATAACGATAATGAGCTATGGTTGGTGTCGGAGAACTATATATCGGACTCTACAAAAAGGGAAAGATTAGGGTCCAAGTTATCTTAAGATAGGAATATTTTCTTCTATACCAAATATTGTAATGAGTTGTACTCGAGTAGGATTCATGCTTAGGTTCTGGGTATAAATATTGGACCCTGGCTATTGTAAAGGACACACAATCAATCAAATACATGTTACTTACTTTTTCGGCTCCGGCCACCCTTAGGAGTAGGAGTAGAGTAGATCTCGGTGAGTTCTTCAGCAAGCAGGGCTGCATCGGTCTGGTCGACCTTTGGCTTGTCTGTAAGTACCGTCATGGCTAATACTTATGTTCGTATGGCTGCATCGATCCGGTCGACCTCCACTGCGACTCTGATATAAGCTAGTTATCGATTTTTATCTAGTTCAAGTATGGCTGCATCGATTCAGTCGACCTCCACTGCTCGAACTAGATTAAGGTCAAGTTATCAGCTCTATTTAAGGGTGGCGTCCTTCGGGTAGATTCATTAAGTTATCAATCTTGCTGATGTTTTCATTGTTATTAGTTTACAGCAACATCAATTTGCCCGGTCAAGATAGAATTAGATCGGCCTCATATCCTTTAGATCCGTCATTCATTTTGTTACAACACGATGTTATCTACCTTGAACGACGGTTTATGCTTCATCGGTTGTTTTTACATCGATCTTGATCGTGCATAGTATACGGTTGAGGCATGAATAATCTTGAAGAGGTTTGCTGGCTAGTTGAATCTGGTTTATAGTTCACCATTATGGCTATAACGATCTGGTCGATCCCCACTGATGACACTGTAGATTAGAGGATGCTAGTTAGTAGATCTGTTCCTGGTTAGGCGTGACCTTAGCTGTTTGCTATGCTTGCATTAGCTAAATAGTCGATCGCCTGTGCGTTAACGCCTATGGTGTGCGTCCATGATTCTGTTAAGCGTGAGTAGATCTGTGTGCTTTGAGGGCTTGATTCGTTGTCTTTTTTCACGGCTGCATCGATCCGGTTGAACCCCACTATTAGGGATAGCGGGTTGAGTCTAAGGAGTCTACGGGTTTGTTCGTGTGAAATAGTTGATTGTTCACACGCTGTAGTCCTTTTTACCTGAATTAGCTATTTTAGCCGATTCATCCGAGCCTTCACGTATAGCATGTCTTTCGGAAAGCCTGTCGAAGTATGGATGTGTTTGCGGATTCTTCGGTTTTAGTTTGTTACTATCATCATAGCTGCCATCGATCCGGTCGAACCTCACTGTTGGTGGTAACAAATTAAATTCAGAGCGTTTGTAGATCCGTTCGTATCAGATAGTCTATTCATTCGTGTGCTATATCTTTTTTTGATTAGATTCATCGGCTTAATGGTTTACACTAGCAGTATCTGTCTAGCTGATGATCTTATTTACATATACGTGTACTTGTACCTGTCAATATAAAATTAATCGCTACCCATAAGCTTTACAGTCCGTAACAGCCGATTTCTGTGCGGATCGGCTATTTAGTCCCCTTTCACGTCTGGTTGCTCCCGAAGCGGCACACTTGAACTGTCTAGGCACAGACCGGCATATTCCACCTTAAATTACTGATAAACTTTCTCTCCTTGTCAATTGCAGGGTTAAATTGACGGGCATGTCTTGGGAGGAGTACGCAGGATCGATCATCCCTACGTTGAAGCCAGGCGGATCTCTAGCTCCATCGAGTAGACCCTTTTGGCTTGCTCGTGTGCCCAGCACGAGATGAATTTTCGTGCCGACACAAGCGAGGCGGAGCCAGCCCTCAGAGGTCGGGCGAGGCGGAGCCCGCGGCCTTGGTGTCAGGCGAGGCGGAGCACAAACCCAAGGGTCGAGCGAGGCGAAGCCCGTCCCCAGAGGCCGGGCGAGGCGGAGCCAGCCCTCAGAGGTCGGGCTAGGCGGAGCCCGCGACCTCGGTGTCGAGCAGGGGAGCCCGCCCCCAGAGGTCGGGCGAGGCGAAGCCCGTCCTCAAAGGCCAGGCGAGGCGGAGCCAACCCTCAGAGGTCGAGCGAGACGGAGCCCGCGGCCTCGGTGTCGGGCGAGGCGGAGCCCGCCCCCAGAGGCCGGGCGAGGCGGAGCTTGCGCACCTAGGGGTTGGTTGGAGCTATAGTCGCGCTCTTAACTGTTCGAATGAATCAATGTTAATGGTTTTTAGCTCCTCCTCTTCGGATACCTAGTATTGGTCCCCGACAGGAGGCATCTTCTGCACCTCCAACGTGACGACCATCAAGTTCACGGGCACCACGGTCGGCGGCGGTTCCGCGATCAACTGGTCGAACAGTATCCGCATGCCGGAGTGGGTCACGCAGGAGTGGGCGCGCGAGCGGGCTCCCCATGTTCGGGAGGCGGGAGTACGTGCATGCCATGGACGCGGTCTGCGCCCCGACTCGCGGTGACCGGCGGGTGCCAGGAAGGGGTTTCAGAACAAGGTTTTGCGCCGTGGCTGCGAGGCGCTCGGGCTACGTGGCGACGCCGTGGCGCGCAACTCGTCGGAGGGCCACTTCTACGGTAGCTGCCACCTGGGTTGCCCCACCAGCGAGAAGCGTGGCACCGACACGACGTGGCTCGTCGACGCCGTCGCGCGCGGCGCGGTCACACTGACAGGCTGCAAGGCCGAGCGTTTTGTACTCAAGAGCAATCCCGGCGGCGAGAACGTCCGGAGCAAGAAGTGCGTGGGCCTGGTGGCGGCGTGCATGAGCGACGGCATCACCAAGAAGTTGCGCATAGAGGCCAAGGTTTCCATCTCGGCGTGTGGCGCGCTCATGACGCCGCCTCTCCTCCGCAACAGCGGGCTCAAGAACAGGCACATCGGCCGCAACCTTCACCTGCACCCGGTGTCTATGGCGTGGGGCTACTTCCCGGACGGCACGCCGGAGGCAGCTGCAGAGCTCAGTGGCAAGTGCTACGAGGGCGGCATCATCACGACCATGCACCGCGTCACCGCCCGCACCATCATCCAGACACCCGCGCTGGGGCCCCGGTGCTGGGCTTCGCTGATCCCCTGGGAGTCCGGCCGCGACATGAAGGAGCGCATGCTCCGGTACGCGCGCACCGCGCACGCCTTCGCCCTGGTCCGCGACCGCGGCGCGGGGCACGTGGACGGTGAGGGCCGCGTGCGCTGCGCCCCGAGCCGGGAAGACGTGGAGGAACTCCGCAACGGGCTGCGCCAGGCGCTGCGCATCCTGGTGGCCGCTGGAGCGGCCGAGGTGGGCACCCACCGCAGCGACGGGCTCCGGCTGCGGTGCGACGGCGGCCTCCGCGACGAGGACCTGGAGGCGTTCCTCAACGAGGTGACCGTAGGGAAAGGCCCCATGCTCCCGGGGCCTGACACGTGGGCGCTCCATTGCTCGGCTCACCAGATGGGCAGCTGCCGGATGGGGTCCAGCCCGAAGGACGGCGCCGTGGATGGGTGCGGCGAGAGCTGGGAGGCGGAGGGGCTGTACGTGTGCGACGGCAGCCTGCTGCCCACGGCGGTGGGCGTCAACCGCGTACTGCGTCTCCAAGGGCATCGCCGAGACCCTGGCGCTCGCGTGACGAGAAACAGTAGCCTGCTGCTTGAGACCGTCGGGTCGTGCTCGCAGAGAAATGGTTGTGTTGTGTGATTCGAGTCGCATTTGCCGGTGCGTGTGGGTGTGGCTGTGTGTGCATGTTGGATGTGGTTTGGGCGAGCCAGTGCGTCTTCATCCTTGTAGTTTGTTGCATAAAAAGCCTATCGGCTCGTATTTGCATACATCATTTTTTTTTCAGATTTGCTATATTACAACCGACTGTTTTTTATGCTTGTAACGACCGGATTTCTGTCCATTGGGTCTGGCACGTGGCGCGTTTGGTCCGTCCGATCTGGATGTGTCTGGCTCCCGATGTGTTTCCGTCGGTGCGTGGTCCTCCCTCCCCTGCGTGGTCCTCCTGCCCAGGATCCTCTGCGCGCCAGCTGCAGCCAAGCAGTGGCTGTGCGGGCGCGTGCACCGGCGCAGACGATCCAGGTGACTGAGAGCAGGTCAGGTAGGGGCTACTCGGTTTGTATCTGATATTTGGTATATGTGAACAATTTAACATATATTTCTCTCACGTTTAGAATTTATAAAAATAATTTATAAATATTTTTTTTGAAAAATTTAGCATTTTTATGTTATTTTCAAATTATATTACTCTGTCTAATAAATTACACTGAAGAAATCGGTGTAAATATAGCTATATAACAGTATAAATGCATGGGGAAAAAATCTGGTCGTTGAAAGGATTAAAAATAAGCAGTTGTTACCTAGACGTCTCCGAGGTACTACAATTATTACCATGAGGGCTTTACTAAGGGTACTGTATGTATGCGCAATGAGTGTGTGGTGCACCGTAACTTTAAGATGGGGCTCAGGAACAGTTGAGAGTAGTTGAACCCAACGACGCAATAGTACTCCCTCCGCGGCTCCGTCCCATAATGGAAAAGTAGTACAGTACTGTGGTAGTAGTGCGCGGAAGGTTGTACTGCTACTAGACAGTGCAGTGCAATCTACTACTGTACTCCGTAATTTTACACTCCGCAGTGCAGTACGGGACCTTGACGGGCCGGAAGGAACCCTCGCGACACTGGCCACGGCGCCATTTCAAGGGAGATGGAGAATTGCAGTCCTCACAAGCGGAACTCTCGACGTCGTCAAAAGGGTTGCTAGGGGGAAGGGGTGAGATGTCCGTAACACCCCGTACCTATATAAGATGCCCGGTCAGCTCCGGACGAGTCATATGCCCTACAAATACCCGATGGGCATGATGAATTAATGACCATTTATTTCTAAATTAACTATATCCTCGTTCCACGGAGCATGGATCATATTCACTTTTCGTTTGTTTACTGCCACATTATCATAACGATCGTAAGTTTTCAATGTAATGCAGATTTTTTCTCTCACAAATCAAAGTTAAAGAGAATTTTTTTTCACGAACCAAAGAATGAAAACGAAACCAACCAACCGAAACGATGATTGATGTTGATTCATTCGGAGTATGTCAAGATATATTATTTTGTTTATATATCTAGACAGTGTATAGCAAAAGCTATTGTATCTTAAAAAAAAAAGGTAAAACGTCTTGTAATTCGGAATAAAGAGAGTACACGTTTACAATTTCTCTGGGTTCATTCCACTAGGAACCACCGAAGTATTTGAAGCTTCTCAGTAGCTGGTGCCTTCTCCAGTTCAACATTGAAGCATTGCTCAATTAGTCCGTTGTTATTATGCTAATAATGTTGCAAGCAAAACTTTTTCTAATACATACCCAACCTTTGGTCAGGCTCACCAGCGCACACTTTCAAGTGGTCATCGCACTTGCTTACCAATCCACAGCAGATTAAGCGCTTGGATGCTTACAGAAAAGATAAGAGTAGCCGAAGCAACTAGCCAACAGAAAAAAACAGTAAATGCAGGATACGAACAATTTGCTAAAAAGTATGGAAATAGAAATAATTTGGTAGCTTCTACTGGTTGTGCGGCAGGATGCACGTGCCCATCTAGCACTGAACAAAAATCCATGGCATGTAAGCCTCATTGCAGTATCAGGTTAAGTGTCTAATGCGACAACATTGACCATGGAGCTGACAAATCAGTAGTTCCATCATCCATGTGCCCATCAGTGGCACGCCACCTAGTTCAGCGAGGCCTGCTGTCGACCATCTGGGATTGCAAACAGAACTACAGGTTTTGACGACCTGATGAATGGGGCATCACACCTGTAGTAGCCTTTCCTCTCGATCTGTATGATCTCTCCGCGCTTGAGGTTCCTCATGTTTGCATCTCCGAGGGCCAAGGTCTCACGTCGAGTGCAAGGGTTAAGATTCTCAAGGAAGTCTTCATCCTCCTCCAGCTGCCAAATGATGACCACATAGTATAATGCAGTGCCAATTCATTAAACAACAACTAAACTGTTTGAGGAAAAGCTCAACAGAAGGCACATGTTGCATTCTGCAATGTCCATTCTAAACCTGTGGCACAGATTCACTTGCAGCGGCATGCCAAATTTCAAGGGAAAATCGAGCAAGACTTGTGAATGCAACTGCAGTTTGGCTGTTTATTTAGAAGATGAACATCTCTACTCCTATTAAGACGAAACTACAATCGTCCACACCGTCGCTTCATTCTGCCCCCGACTTGCGCGTGCCCCTTGACTCCCCGCATTCTCCCCGCGCAGATGGGTGGGACCAGACTCCCTCACTTGTCCCCCACTCAACGTGCCTCCCACTCCCTCCATGCTCCCAGACTCCCCTGCGTCTACAAAAAGCTCCTCTCCCAACTCACCGCGTCTCCAAACCCTAGCCCCGCGCCCCTCGCCCTCGCCCGGAGGCCGCCCTACGCCCCTCGCCCTCTCCCCGGAAGCCGGAGCATGCGTCGCCCTCACCCGTGCGCCCCCGACGCCACATGGGGTGCTCCCTTCGCCTCGCCCCCGACACCGACGCCGCCTCGCGCCTCCAATGTCGCCACCGCCACCGCCGAGCGGCCCCGACGAGTACGCGCCGCGGGAAACGGTGCCCGCCTCTCTGCCTCCTATTTCTGTGGCGGCGACGGCGGCAGGTACAGCAGCGTGGGACCCGCCCTACTCGACGGCAGCAACCCAGGCCGCCAAGCCTCCCGACGCCAGCCACCAGCTCCAGACCAAGTTCTCACAGGTAATCGTCCAATCTGGCCATCTTCCCAAGATCAGGTCTGATTGAATCAAGTTTTGTTCTGGAGATTCGTATCATCCCAGTGTACAAATTTATTTGTGGAAGGCAGGGCCATTTGCTAATTGCATATGATGATATGATGCAGCTGCACATAGGTCAGTGAAAACCTAGGTCTTTGCACCTGCATTTCTATAGGCAGAAGAAAACCTAAGGTCTATGTACTACGTACTGCTGTACTGGCAAATACTGAATTAGACAATGCCTACTGAATCAGACATTGCCGAGTTCGAATATAGTAGGTTCTGGGTAAAATTTCCATTTTGTGCTAAGGCTGCCCAAAAAGGTACGGGTGAGTGCCTTATTTGCCTTTCATTCAGCTTGTTGATTTGGCAGTTCTCTAGATGACATGATCATTTTTCTTTCATTCAGCTTGTTGATTTGGCGCTTCTTTACGTTTGTATTTTTCTTTATCTCATATTTAGGTAGAGCATGGAATTTGTAACATATATTTCTCCAAGCAGTCATGTTGTGATATTCTGAATCTATGCATACTCTATGAATCTTGCTATTTCAAGTTTGCAGAAAATGTATTCAAGCTAAAGATCAGCAGAGACTGATCATCATACTGTTGAGAAAATATACGGCACTCTATGTATGGTTTGATGCAATAGTTCTCTTTTTGTACTGTTCTCTGAGAAAATAAGCTTTGAATGATGATTGGCCTCCATTGTCAACCCATGGTGGTAAGAGTTAAGCAGAACTGAGATTGGATCCTTTCTGAATTCAAGTCGGGGAAAAGTTGTACTAAGACGACCATTGTAGCAGTGTGTTTTTACTCGGGAGTTAGATGGGCCGATCAATAGTCCAGTGTGGTCTTTTTATTTTTATTTTTTTAATTTCATCAACCGGTATATGGATTGAGGCTCTAATTTAAAATTATCATTCTTTTACCAAATTCAGTTCTGAAACAATATCTTCAAGTGCAGATTATACTATACCAGTTCAATATGCTTGTGCCGACATGTTAAATATCCATGTATGTTTGGTATATTTCTACGATTGTGTACTGTGCAGACCAGCATATGGGGTATGGGCGGAGAATAAATGATTCAATTAACCTCTTCTTTTCTTTAGTTAACGTGCTGCTGGAAAGACTAAAGTTCCTTGCAATAAAGATGCTGCAATTTGCAATGCACAATTTTTTATTGCTACATTATGTACTAAACTGGCTGTACATTTCTGCGGGTGATTTTCTTGGACCCCTGTAACCGGGGTGGCATACTGGCATAGGAGGCCTACAAGCCACTGTCCATCGAGGTGGTGGAGTTTGCACTGCCCTGGACATGGAGGTGCGCATCAGGATCCTCTTCACTTCACTCTACCACACTTACGTTTACTTCTGGGAGGCCACGGTATCTACTGATGACTCATCCCATTTGTAACAAGTCCGTTGAGATGCTTGGTGCAGCAACTTGAGGCTGACTTGCGCCTTATTGAGGACTTTTAATTTATTTCTTATAGGGGCAGACTCCCTTGTTCCCTAGGGTCTTCCGTCATGAGGCTACAGGAGATGTTATCTTCCTGGACCCACTTTATTTTCTTGCGGTCTGCAGATGTTTAAATTGAATTTTACAGTCTCCTGCTTCTATTCTTAGTTACCTTATATATCGTTGGTCGTCATTATTTATTGACACATTAGATGCAGAGCAATCCTGGATTCTAGACAATATGCGGAAAGAGCACTAAGAAAAAGTTTGTGTTGTTTGAGACTGCAATCCGAGCGTCCATGCACAGTATGATGACCATGATATTTATGACCAGTAAAGGTAAAGATGGACCATGGAGCCTGTGATCTTGGCTGTGATGTCTTCTCTTTGGGGTATGATGCTAGGGTTCACCTAGACAGTGTTCACAGCTTCAGTTATGAAGATGTATCTCAAGGCACCTTACATGACA